TGATTTGTTTGCATTTCACTCGTCAAAATGTGTGCTCTTTTGTGGCAAATATAGTGTGGCCTCATCACATATGCTATTCACCCCCGACCTGCTCTCTTTCGATCGGCTGATCCGACTCGTAACAAGTCCACTGTCTGATGCTGGGAATCATGACAACTACTATGACAGATGACTTCGGTCTAGGTGCGTTCTACTAAATCCCCCTGACAACAGGACCAAGTTGCGACTAGGTCAACCCACTTCTATAAATCGAAAGGAGACTGATCATACCAGAGACCATAAAATCTTGGTTTTCATATCAGTAATCATTATTTCCGCTTGCTTGTCTAAATAGAGAAATCACAGATTAATTTAGGGTTAATGCTATTAAAGTGGGTTGATCTTGTTTTTGCAACTTGTTAGTGCTGTTAGAGGGACTTGGTTGGACACACTTTGTCCGGAGTCCTCTGCTGTAGCAGTTATCATAATTACTAATATCGGACCACCGGCGGCACATTTCCAGACGATTCTCCGGCATCGTAGTCGACATCGCCAGTGGGTCTTGCCACTCCTAACTACGAAGCAGGAACTCGTAAAAATGACAGGTGAAGTCAATTCAATTTTCTGCCCAATTTGTGTTATCGCACTCCTCACACATACACTGCTATTACACACTTATAACAACTATAGCAGAGTACTTTAGAGGTGTGTCTGACTAAGTCACCCTGACAACACGACTATGTTGTGTAAAAGAGGTCAGCTCACTTCTATGCATCGAAAAGAGACTGTGATGGTATCAAAGTCTACACCACCTTGGTCTTTACAGCTTCGGCTAATAATATTTTTTATCAAAAAGTGTTATAAGATTCCAGCTCAAATATATTACTATTGTGGGTCTGTTGACAGGGAGGTGCATCATTTTGCTCGATCGGGGAATTTTTGCGATTTATATGGTTAGAGTGACTTATTGTTCGCATGCTAAATGTTTCTCTAGGTTTTTTTGGAGAACTTATTTCTCACCGCATCTCCTACTCTCGTAATATCATTTCCGATAAAGTAAGAAATCATCGTTTAGTGGAGACGTTACTATATCTTATGGTAATGAAGACTTTTGCTAAAGCGTTATAAGGTATGGACTGTAGCAGATCAGGAGGATAGGTAGTTAAACTATTTAACAAGAAATTACATAACCGGTTTAAACATGCACTTCTGCAGGTCTCTCGGAGCCGGACGTGAAAGAAATGGATAGCTGAACAAATCCACAAAAGATAACAATAACTAGCTTTGAATATTGTTTATGATTGAGAAGCCGAAAAAACCATCTAGTAAGTAGAGTGCAAATACATTATAAGCAACATAAAATTTAAGAAACTGCAGGCTTGTAGAGGGAGGCACGAAATATCCGGACGAATCGCAAGATTCTCCTTAAAGGAATTACTATATGATTGCAAGAAGTAAATAGGTCAGAGCCAGCTCTCATAATTGACTTTGTATTCTGAGTTTTTCACAGAGTGGTGTTCGCTTAAGAACTTCTCTTTTATCTGTTAGGGAAAACAAAGCATTAAATAATGGAGATTGTGGAACGGTAGACAAAGGACATATTCACATAGTCATAAACCTAGGGCAATACCGCTGTAGTCTTTCTGGAGGTAAATTTATATATATATTCCAAAATTTCATACAAAATTAAAGCCTAATAACATGAAATCAACCCACACTCATTTCCTACTCGAGCAAGCTGACTTTAGATGCACCTTTAAAAATATGCAGACTGATACGGATTTACAAGTTGTTTGACCTTGTTTTCGCAACTTAGTCATATTGGTAGGAAGACTTAAAGAAACGGACATAGTCCGGAATCCATTGTATGCATCATCGTTTTCAGAGTAGGACCC